CCCAGGTCCTGAGCACGCCTGGACCTGGCACACTCGGAGTGCTTATCGAACCAGAACCCAGAACCTTCTCACGTGGGTCAGCCTTGCAGAGCGTGGCACTGCGCCTGCCACTGCACCAACAGCGGGGCCTTGGAGTAGGATTTGAGAGAGAAAGTGAAAGTGAGAAGTCATCCCTCCAGGGAGATGGCCACACCACACTTCAGTCCCTTGTCCCCTCTCTCGGGATGTTGTGTATGCACACACATGTGCCTCGTGTGTCTTTCACGCTGCCAGTTCTGGGACTGGAATCCTGCATGATGTGTGGGGTGGGGAATCAGCACCTTATCCCCACGCCACCCGCTGGCCCCTAGGGGAGGATTTTTAATGAGGGGAAGGAAAATGTGTGAAAAGCAAAGCAAATTGTTCTGAACAGAGGAGGTTGCTCCAGGTGGCTTCCAAGGACCCCTCCCCGGTCAGGGTGGAGCTGGGGTCGGGGGAAAGGGAACATCCTCAGTGCTTGCAGGGCCCGGCATTGTAGCACGCTCTGGCAGCTCTACGGCATGGAGCTCCATCTGGCTCTTCCCTCCTCCTCTCCTGCCATGTGGATTGGAAAGGCCAGGTAGGACCCCTTCCCTCACTGGGCAGCTTTGGGTTCCACGTCACCCGAAGACCACAGAGCTTCTGTGGAGAGTGGTCACCCATCCTAATTTATAAGCCTGACCCCCGCCCCTTCCCCTCCCACCCTGGGCCAGGGGGCCTTGGCAGGGACAGGGGCAAGGGTTGGCACGAGCGTGCCAGGGGACACATCTCTGGGCATGCTGGCTCCTGCCTGAAGTTCACTCACTGCAGTGCGTGGGCGAGGACCCAGCACCCAGCATCCCCAGGCAGTGAGTGGCAGGGAGTCTCCTTGGTGCTGCTCTTACCATCTGTCATCGGCGGCAACAGTGACTTCCCTGGTGGGGAGGCCCAGGCCAGCTGTGCTCCTGCCCTCGCCCTGAGCTGTCGTGTGCAGACCTGCCTGTGAGGGAAGGGCCACCGGTGGGCTCCGAGCTTCGGTGTCTGCCGTGCCTGGCCCTCGTTCTGAGAGGCCTGTTTGCTGTTGCAGGTCCCTGCGCTGTTTGACGAGGTGGCCATATATTTTTCTGATGAGGAATGGGAAGTTTTGACGGAGCAACAGAAAGCCCTCTACCGGGAAGTCATGAGGATGAATTATGAAACCGTCCTGTCCCTAGGTAAGGCCTTGCTTTCTTTGTCTCCCAGAAGCTGGGCCCAGAGAGCCGTTTCCCTGACTCTCGGTGTGTCCAGCAGCCTTCTCTCCTGAGCTAGCATGCGTTCCCTGAATGCATGTGCCATGGGATCTCCTGGGTTTTTTGTTTGGAGGGGGATTTTTGCTATAGGGTACATACAGAGACAGAAAGAGCGAGAGAGAGTGAGAAATCACCCCCCAGAGGGGATGACTGCACGGCAGTCCCTTCCCTATTCTCCTCTCGGGGTTTTTGGGCACACAGGCACACGTGACCGGCATGAGTTTGAAGCTGCTGGGTCCAGGACTCAGGTTGCAGTCAGCCACGTGGGAGTCCAGCACCTTAACCGCTATGCCACCCGCTGGCCCTAACTTCCTGTTTTTAATTTGGGTCCTCTTTAGCAGCTCTGAGAACTTCCATCCACCCCAGGCATTCTCATTAACACATAAGCACACGGACCTCGGAAATGTCTCCAGGATCTGGGCCTCTGCTTCCAAAGAACAGATGCTCTTCTGACTCTACTCGATACGACCCTCTCATTAGGGTGCAGTCAGGGGAGGGACTTCCCGGTTACCCATCGGGGACCGTGATGAGCCTGGGGTCCGTGGCCACACCCACCCCTCGCTGCTAGACGCAGTTCTGTGGTTGCTAATACTTGCCCTCATTGGCATAAATCCAGAAAGTCCCTTGGAATGTTTCCCTCACTGCTTTCCGTCCTGTCTTTATGCATGCTTGAGCCTCCCTCGCCCCCACCCTGTCTTTCACAAAGGAGGGGGTGCTTCTTAAGTGTTATAAAGGGCTCTTGGGGTCGCGTTCTAGGACAGTGACAGAGTCATCACCTGCTTTATTTCCCATGTACAGAGTTCCCATTCCCGAAGCCAGACATGATCAGTCGTTTGGAAGGGGAGGAAGAGTCTCCGAATTCTGACGAGTGGCAGCTACAAGGAGGGACCTTTGCAGGTACTGCAAGTCAGCCTGTTCAGCACCGGCCGGGGAGGTCCCGGAGCTGGGGTTGCCGTCTCTGAATCTACCCTGTGGGGCACTTCACAATGGAGCAGGGTCGTGAGACAGAACGCGAATTGGCTCCAGAGCTTACATATCTGCTCCCCCAGTGCTGTGCGACCTTAGGCAACTCCTTTCGCCTCCCTGAGCCTCCATTTCCTCACCTGTCAGTGAGGAGTCAGACTTGATGCGCTGCCTTTTATGAGGGGCTTCAGAACTTTCATGGAAAAGTAGATTAGAGGACAGATTTACTGGGCCAGCAGATGGCTTAATGGTTACCTCGCTGGACTCCCATGTACTTGACTGCAGTTCAAGTCCTGGACCCAGTGGCTCAAAACTCACTCTGGGTGTGTGTGCATGCATGCCCAAAATCCCAAGAGGAAATTGGAGGAGAAGGGATTGTGGTGTGGCCATCCCCGCTGGGGGTGATTTCTCACTTTCTGTGTATCTCTGTCTCTCTGATGAGCACACATGCTTTATAGCAAAGCTCTCTCTAAATAATAATAATAATAATAATAATAAAACAATAATTAAGTTTTTTTTAAATAAAGTACACATTTACTTTGGTGCAAAAATCTTAATACCCATAATAGTTTTTTCATAATACACATTTCCATGAACTTTCTGAGGTGACCTTGTGTGTGGATGGGGCGAAATAGGCTGTGGGGCATGTGGTCCCCTGCGTCCTGGGGAACGTGGCCGCCATGGGAGTACGCCTCTCACCCCTGCAGACTGAGGAGGAAGGGAAGCTTACCTCCTCTCTGCTCTCTTCATACTGGGCAGAAAACGCAGCAGCAGCTATAGGACACATCTGAGCAAGTGTGTCTAGGGAGCACCTAGCCTTTCATCAAGAAAAATGGTTAGGAGGGCAGCAGCTGGGTAAATATAGCATAGCTTCCCGACAGCTGGAATAGTTTTGCATTTTCTCTAGAGGTAAGGACCTAAACCGCCATGTTATTTTGAGGCATATTTCCTGTATCTTAGAAAGAGAGATTTTTGCTATAGCACACATGTGCCTGCTGGAGAGATGGCTAGAAAGTGAGAAACCACCCCCCGGGGGGATGAGCATGCCTCAATCCCCTCTCCATTCTCCTCTCGGGATTTTAGGCATGCGTGCACACGTACTGGTGTGAGCTTGAAGCCACCGGGTGTGGGACTCAAACCACAGTCGACTACATGGGAGTCCAGTGACATAACCAGTACACCGTCTGCTGGTCCTGGGGCATGTTTTTCCTTCACTACTTTAAAGTTTCTGAAACTGAGAATGAATGCCTCTTAAAACTGATGGCACGTCATAGTTTTGACTAGAGGCATTTTTTCTTTCCTTTTTTTTAGGTTTTTGCCATAGGGCATGAATGCTTGCCAGACAGAAGAACAGTGAGAAATCACCCCTAGGGGGGTGGCCACACTGCAGTCCTGTCTCCTCCAGTTTCCTCCTGGGATTTTGGGCATGCATATACATGCAGAGCCACCAGGTCTGGGACTTGAACTGTGGTCAACCATGCGGGAGTCTAGCACCGTAACTACCAGGGCATCCTGCTGACCCCAAGGCATTTTTTTCTGAACATCACATAATAGTCCGTCTGCCGACTGATGGCATTTTAGGTTTAGTGAGATAGGTCATCCCCCCCCACACACACACACCTTCTAACTGACACGGTGAGACCCAGCTCCGACACTCATGCGCAAGAACTGTCCCTGCCCTGCCAGCTTCACTCTGCCAAGTGTGGCTTTGCTGTGGGCTTCTTGGTTCAAGGCGTGTGGTTCGGCCCGTGATGCATCAGATCTCTGTGACAGTATGTGGCAGTGGGTTACGTGTGGCTTCTTGTCTACAGGAGAATTATTTTGGTCCAAGCAGACCCCCGAATTATTTGGTCCAAGCCTGGTGCCTGCGTTCAGTTCTAGCTCTGCCCCTCTCAGCCTGGCTCCGTAGCATTGCTTGGGTTCCGTAGCCACCCCTTCTGCACCTGCAAACTGGACTGCAGTGTGCACACAGTCCCGAGAGTGAGAGGAGTGGTCCGTGTGAATCGCTAGCACACGGGTAAGGACTTGGGGCAGTGTGTACCGTTAAAGTAGCTTCACTACTTTGCGTGGACCTCATGTTAAGGTCTTTGTCGCATTTCACCCCCACACTCAGGGACTAACCCAGAGCACTCACTGGCATTCTTTGTGCCCCTCCCTGCTTGTCTCCCAGAACACGAAGACGCTGACGTGAAGCCTCGCGACTGGGCAGACTCGGTGAACGCCGCCTCTCACCTCCCCCAGCCGCAGCCCCTGGACGGCTTCGGGCTCCGTCTGCCCCGGGACCTCTCGGAGCTGCCCGAGTGGAGCGAGGGCTACCCCTTCTACATGGCCATGGGCTTCGCAGGCTACGACCTCTCGGCCGACGACATCGCCGGCAAGTTTCAGTTCAGCCGGGGCATGCGCCGCAGCTACGACGCCGGCTTCAAGCTGATGGTGGTGGAGTACGCGGAGAGCACCAACAACTGCCAGGCTGCCAAGCAGTTCGGAGTCCTGGAGAAGAACGTCCGGGACTGGCGTAAAGTGAAGCCGCAGCTGCAGAACGCCCACGCCATGCGCAGGGCCTTCCGGGGCCCCAAGAACGGGAGGTTTGCCCTGGTGGACCAGCGCGTGGCCGAGTACGTCAGGTACATGCAGGCCAAGGGGGACCCCATCACCAGGGAAGCCATGCAGCTGAAAGCTCTCGAGATCGCCCAGGAGATGAATATCCCCGAGAAGGGGTTCAAGGCCAGCCTGGGCTGGTGCCGCCGCATGATGAGGCGGTATGACCTGTCCCTGAGGCACAAAGTGCCCGTGCCCCAGCACCTGCCCGAAGACCTGACGGAGAAACTCGTCACCTACCAGCGCCGCGTGCTGGCCCTGCGCAGGGCGCACGACTACGAGGTGGCCCAGATGGGGAACGCCGACGAGACGCCCATCTGCCTGGAGGTGCCGTCACGGGTGACTGTGGATAACCAGGGCGAGAAGCCCGTCCTGGTGAAGACGCCAGGCAGGGAGAAACTGAAAATCACAGCGATGCTCGGCGTCCTGGCTGACGGGAGGAAGCTGCCCCCGTACATCATCCTGAGGGGGACCTACATCCCCCCCGGGAAGTTCCCCAGTGGCATGGAGATCCGCTGCCATCGGTACGGCTGGATGACCGAGGACCTGATGCAGGACTGGCTGGAGGTGGTGTGGCGGCGGCGGACGGGCGCGGTGCCCAAGCAGCGAGGCATGCTGATCCTGAACGGCTTCCGGGGCCACGCCACCGACTCCGTGAAGAGCTCCATGGAGCGCATGGACACCGACATGGTGATCATCCCGGGGGGCCTGACCTCGCAGCTGCAGGTGCTGGACGTGGTGGTCTACAAGCCCCTCAACGACAGTGTGCGGGCCCAGTACTCCAACTGGCTGCTGGCCGGGAACCTGGCGCTGAGCCCCACCGGGAACGCCAAGAAGCCACCCCTGGGCCTCTTCCTGGAGTGGGTCATGGTCGCCTGGAACAGCATCCCCAGCGAGTCCATCATCCAAGGGTTCAAGAAGTGCCACATCTCCAGCAACCTGGAGGAGGAAGATGACGTCCTGTGGGAGATCGAGAGCGAGTTGCCGGGCGGAGGGGAGGTCCCCAAGGAATGCGACACTGAAAGCACGACCGAGGGCCGCTGAGGACATGGTGAGAGGGCCGGTCCGGAGGAGCTGCTCAGGACCTCGCGGGGGTCAGTGGGTTCTGTGACACCTGTTCTCTTGTTCTTCTTCATTGTTTTTTTTGTAGAGAGGTTTTTCCTATAGAGTGCATACACGTGCCAGAGAGACAGAAAGCAAGAGATCACCCCCCGGGGGTGCAGTCCCTTCTCTATTCTCCTTGTGGGATTTTGGTCACACTGTACACAGGCCTGGCGTGGGTTTTAAGCTACGGGGTCCAGGACTTGAATTGGGGTCGACTCTGTGGGAGTCTGGCAGTGTAAGCATTGCACCATCTGCTGGTCGCTTCATTATTTTTCAAAATTAACGTCTGTTCTTCCACGAGAGACTCAGAGAAAAAGACACTCCCCTCCGGTCCAGGGTCTGCCTACCTCGACGCACCCCCGTCTCAGCAGCCTCACAGACACATGCACCCCCAGTGTTCAGGACGGCCCTGGGGCATGAACCAGGACCTTTCCCGTGTGAGCCCAGCTGTTACTGCAGTACCATACCTGGCCGCTCACCTCTTCTGTCTCATTCTTCTTCTCCATGTTCAAGTTCTCTTAGAGCCCTCAGTGCAGTAGGGCAGTTCCTCTTACATGAGACTTTCTCTGTCTTACTTTGAATTTTCCTCTGCAGTTTGGACCCAAGAGCACTTGTACTAGTATGCAGGGATTTCAGAAATTCATGGGAAAGTAGAACTAAAGTATGCGCTTGTTACAGTGCAATTTTTAAAACCCATGTTTTCTTTATAGTTCACGTTTTCCACGAGCTTTTGAAGACTCCTCCTACTGGCTGAACATCCAAGATCCAAAACTTTGGCCCCTCAGGTGGAAAATTCCACACTTGACCTCACATGTTGGGTCTTAGTCAAAATGCTACAAAACGCATAGTCACCTTATATGCAGCCGAGCATAATTTTTGTAATTGTATAAACTTTCATAATTGTATAAAATTAAGTCCAGGCTACATATTTAAGGTGACCCTGAGACTTAAATGGAGCCCAGCTGATGGCATGGTGGTAAAGTTGGCTGGATCCCACATGGCTGACTGCATGATTCAAGTCCCAGACCCAGGGGCTTAAAAACCCACCAGGTGTGTGTGTGTGTATGCCCAAAATCCCAAGAAGAAATGAAGAAGGGATTGCAGCATGACCATGCCCCATGGGTGGGGGAAGGCGTGCTTACCCACGGCCCTTCTCTGTCTCTCCAGCAAGCGTGTGCACCTCTAGCAAATATTAAAAGAAAAATGAATGTTCTTTTCTGGAGTTAAAACTTTGTCCCATCCCCAAGATATTATGTCTATACAAATATTCCAAAATCCAAAAAAGTCCAAAATTCAAAACATCTCTGGGAACCAGCAGTTAGCGTAATGGCTATGTCACTGGATTCCCACATAGTCGACCGTGGTTCGTGTCCTGGACCCGGTGGCTTAGAACTCACGCCGGGCACGTGTGCGTGCGTGCCCAAGATCCCGAGAGGAGAATGGAGGAGAAGGGATTGTGGCGTGACCATCCCCTCTGGGGGGTGATTTCTCGCTTTCTGTCTCTCTGTCTCTCTCTGTCTGTCTGGCGAGTGCACGCGCCCTATAGCGAAAACCTCTCCAAAAAAAAAAAACATCTCTGATCCCAAGCTTTTCAAATAGAAGCTACTCAGCCTGTACATAAAAATGAACAAAGCGAACTGCCAGCATGTTTAAGCTGAGAGCTCTGTCACTGAAAATACTTAGGCCTGGGCCAGTGGGCAGCGTGGTGGCTAAGGCGCTGGACTCCCGCATGCTGACCTCGGTTCAAGTCCCAGACCTGCGGTTTGCCTTCCCACTCTCCTTTTCTTTCTCCCCCTCCGTCTCTCTTTCTGTCTCTCTGGCGAGCACTGTACCCTATAACAAAATAACAATAACAGTAAATAAATAATTCTTAAAAAAAGAAAGAAAGGAAGTACTTGGGCCTGAAGGAGCGAAGTCTGGCGCTGCTGAGCTCACAGAGTTTTGTCTGAAAAGCTGCCCGTTCCCGTCTTAGGGCCTGTCTGTGAGGCAGTATGCCCGGCACACTTGGGGCGTCCGTGCTGGCACATGCTGGCCTGCGGGGGGACAGAGGGTGCTGCGTGTGCCTTTAGTGGGGGTCCTCTGGCTGGGAGTCCAGTCCTGGGGTGATCTGCAGTCTCCCCACCAGGGAAGTCACTACGTAGCTTCTGCTTGCTTTTCTCTGGGGAGTTCAGGGTTTTCCCCGTCATCACAGTCTCTGGACCTTCTCCTGGAGTGGAGCAGTCACAGCGGTTCCCCGTAGTTAGCTCATGTCTGGAGGGAGATTTTTTTAATTACTCTTTTTCATGAGACACGGAGACAGTACCCCCGCAGGATCAGTACACCACGTCCAGGCCTGTCTCAGCTAGCTGGGATCATGGGCACATGTGCGCACACCCTGTGCATACGGGGAGGCCTGGGCTGCGGACCCGGGGCTTCCCACGTGGCCTTGGCATCGTGGATTGTCACACTGCACTCGGCCGGCACGAACACATGTTTAGATTCACTGTTGGCACCGAAAAAGAAAGAAAGAAAGTACCTAGGACTGTCGGGAGCGAAGGTTGAGGCCCAGGGCAGTGAGGCTGGAAGTTCCAGAGCTGAGGACAGAAGAGGAGCAGCCTTGACAGGAAGTGGGGAACGGGGCCTGGGACAGCACAAGGGAGATGAATCCCCACCCCACACCCTCACGCACACGCCTGCATGCGCGCATGCCTTGGGGGAATGGTGGCCGCATGCTCGACAGTGGAGAAGCTTACAGGACGGACAGACAGCAGCTTTACCTCCTCCTCGTTCCCCTCACGTGGTCCGTTTGTCCCTCAGGCAGTGTTTTATGTGAAGGAAGGAGGACCTGAAACCATCTGGACCCATTTTACTTCATTAAGGTATAATGAGGTGTTTCCTCCCTCCTTGCCTTTTTCTCTGTATGTAAAATGCGAGCAGAAACCTCTGTCCCTTCACCTCGCGCCATGGGAGTACGTCCTTGTGTCGAAAACAGCTTCCATCTTCCTTGCCCGCAAATCAAGCTGCAGTAGTATCACTGACCCCACTGGCATTCCGGGCCCCTGGGAACTGCAGTGGAGCAAGGTCTATATATCCACATCCCTGAGTTGGCTTTTTTTTTTTTTTTTAATTCTTTTAAGTTTATTCCATGGGCAAGAGACAGAGACGGGCACCCCAACAAGGTCTGGACACCACAGCCCACCCGCTCCTGGGTCACGGAGACGTGCCTGCCTGACACACTCGGGAGGTCTCCAGTCGTAGACGCTCCTGGGTCACAGAGACGTGCCTGCCTGACACACTCGGGAGGTCTGTCGTAGACTGGCAGCCTTCCCACAGAAGTCTGCCTCATAGGGCATTGTATTCTTTTTTTTTTTTTTTTAAGAATTATTTATTTAATTTTATTTTACATTTACTTTTTTTCAGAGAGCAGTTTTTATTATAGGATGCATCCACTCACCAGAGAGAGAGAGACAGAAAGAAAGCGAGAAATCACCCCCTGGGAGGATGGCCATGCCTCAGTCCCTCTCCTCTCGGGATCTTGGGCACACACACAAGTTTCAAGCCACCAGGTCCAGGACTCAAACCATAATCGGCCATGTGGGAGTCCAGTGATGTAACTGCTATGCCATCTGCTGGCCCCTTAAGCTTCCTTTTTTATTTCTTCCACAAGAGACAGAAAGAGAGACAGGCATTCTCAACCGTCTTCATGCCATGGTCCACTCCCAGCTTCACCCAGCAGGATTGTGGGCACACGTGCCAGTATACACAGGGAGGCCTTGGGACGCGAACCTGGAACCTTGCTGCTGCTGCTTCACTGTCTGGTCCTTGAAATGCTTTCCCCCTCATGTCCCTCACTCTCAGAACCCTAATCTTCCTCTCCTTCTGACCTTTCTGCTTCCATTGGACATCAGACTCTGACTTACACTGTGTTTTTACCTTCTTCATTGTACCCTTTGCTTTTCCTGCCTCCTTGTTATTTGCTTGGTTTTTCTGAGACTTTTGCTATAGGACTTGTGCACTTACCAGAGAGATGGAAAGCGAGAAATCACCCCCTGGGGGGATAGCCATGCCACAGTCCCTTCTCCTCCATTTTCCTCTTGGGATTTTGGGCACACATCTGCCCAACATGAGTTTCAAGCCACTGGATCTGGGACTCGAACCATGGTCAGCCATGTGGTGTCCAGCACCTTAGCCACTATGCCACTTGCTGACCCCCTTGTCTCCTTGTTAGATGACATTTTTGTGTATTTTAAATTGTCTAAGCTATCTACCACCACAGAGATGCCATCAACAACTGCCAGAAGAGGCCGACCCATAGCATAGTGGTTGCGGGAGCCAGATCCCACCACCAACTATGGTTCAGGTCTCGGCCCGGCAGCTTCAGAAACACTGAGTACGTGTGGGTATGCCAGGGCCCTGACGAGGCGGAAGGGGTGGCAGCATGACTGCGCCCCATTTGGAGATCCTTTCTCCAACTCCTCTCCCACCCTGTGCCTCTGTGTCTGGTGAACACATACCCTCTGACAGTTAATAAAAACATCAGAAGAGGAAAGGGGCAAAGCTGTCGGGCTGCAGCTGGGACTGGAGCCCTTATGCCCAGCGTCGGCCATGAGCTCTGATCTCCCGGGCTGCCGCAGCTCTCTGCACCGCTGCCAGGGAAGGGGTGGATGGAGACAGGGAGTCACAGCGAGTGAAAGACTCAGAGACATGTGGGCATAAAGTTGCCTCTTGTCATCTGTTTGCAGATCTATCAGAGTTACGAAAGATTGCTAACAGTTGCTTTTGTTTCGTTTTAGTATTTTTTGCCAGAGGGTGTGTGCACTAGCCAGAAAGAGACAGAGAGACAGAGAAAAAGTAAAGAAAAGATCATGGGTTGGGGGAGAGCCTAATCTTCCTCTCCTTCTGACCTTTCTGCTTCCATTGGACATCAGACTCTGACTTACACTGTGTTTTTACCTTCTTCATTGTACCCTTTGCTTTTCCTGCCTCCTTGTTATTTGCTTGGTTTTTCTGAGACTTTTGCTATAGGACTTGTGCACTTACCAGAGAGATGGAAAGCGAGAAATCACCCCCTGGGGGGATAGCCATGCCACAGTCCCTTCTCCTCCATTTTCCTCTTGGGATTTTGGGCACACATCTGCCCAACATGAGTTTCAAGCCACTGGATCTGGGACTCGAACCATGGTCAGCCATGTGGTGTCCAGCACCTTAGCCACTATGCCACTTGCTGACCCCCTTGTCTCCTTGTTAGATGACATTTTTGTGTATTTTAAATTGTCTAAGCTATCTACCACCACAGAGATGCCATCAACAACTGCCAGAAGAGGCCGACCCATAGCATAGTGGTTGCGGGAGCCAGATCCCACCACCAACTATGGTTCAGGTCTCGGCCCGGCAGCTTCAGAAACACTGAGTACGTGTGGGTATGCCAGGGCCCTGACGAGGCGGAAGGGGTGGCAGCATGACTGCGCCCCATTTGGAGATCCTTTCTCCAACTCCTCTCCCACCCTGTGCCTCTGTGTCTGGTGAACACATACCCTCTGACAGTTAATAAAAACATCAGAAGAGGAAAGGGGCAAAGCTGTCGGGCTGCAGCTGGGACTGGAGCCCTTATGCCCAGCGTCGGCCATGAGCTCTGATCTCCCGGGCTGCCGCAGCTCTCTGCACCGCTGCCAGGGAAGGGGTGGATGGAGACAGGGAGTCACAGCGAGTGAAAGACTCAGAGACATGTGGGCATAAAGTTGCCTCTTGTCATCTGTTTGCAGATCTATCAGAGTTACGAAAGATTGCTAACAGTTGCTTTTGTTTCGTTTTAGTATTTTTTGCCAGAGGGTGTGTGCACTAGCCAGAAAGAGACAGAGAGACAGAGAAAAAGTAAAGAAAAGATCATGGGTTGGGGGAGAGAGATGGCCCCACCACAGTTCCTCCTCCTCCATTCTTCTCTCTGAATTTTGGGCACATACGCACATGTGCCTGGCATGGTTTCCAGGCCTCCAGGTCTGAGACTCGAACTGCAGAATTAGCCATTTGGGATCCAGTTGCCTTAACCAACATGTCACCTTGCTAGTCCAGGTTTGATAAAATTTCTGATATTGAAAGTCCAAGGGTTCATTCATACGTAGGTCTTTGTATTTTCCAGCAAGTGGACCTGTGACTGGAAGTTGGGGAGCAGTATCCTCAAGATCATTCTGGAAGTGTGGACACACAGGGGCCCACAGAAGGCCAGGGAGCCAGACAGTGGCCCGTGCATCCCATGGCGGACACAGCCCAACCCCACCCCACACCACTGCGTGGCAGAAGAGTCGAGGACCCTTAACTTCATCAGTGCACACGGACAGACATGAGTAGGACAGACACTACTGCTCCGGTTTCTTGTTGGGAGAGACTCCGTTTATCCACCCTGTTGACGAAACCTGTACATAGGAACAAACACAGCTGTTTCCTGGAGGAGAGATGCTGCTCGGTATCACCACGCTCACCCGGGCCCGACTCTGGTGGTGCCCAATGGAGACGACCTTAAGTCCATGTTTAATTCTGCCTTTGAAATGCTTCTGGAAGTAGAGCCTGTCCCCACACAGGTCACGACTAGAGAGGGCTTCGTTAGGGGCGTGTCGCCGGTGTGCACCTGCTACTTCATATTTTCTCTTGGAAAAATGCGATGCTACTAGTGCTGACAGCGGCATTCAGACTGGCCTGGTACCAGGAGGTGGCTCTTCTGTAGACGCACTAGGCGAGTATGGCCAACACAGGTTGAAATAAACAGTGCTCTTTTATTTATCCTATCTGGTTGGCAGCTAGGTGTCTTTAGGGTCTTCTCTAATGGCCCTTGGTTATTAAGTTTAATGAGAGGGCAGCATTGAGTAAACAAAGCTCTGTTTCCCCGGCTGCCTGCAGAAGTCGCTCTAAATTATCTGCTGTGTACATGGTACAAAGCCCACTGACTCATCTGATGCTTGTTCATTTCTTTATTATTTCTATCACAAGGGCAGCAGGAGGGCAGCAGGGCCTTTGCCTTTAGCCACAGCTGTCTCAGATTTCTAACCTTCTACTCTGTGGGATAGGTGGGAGGTCACTGAGTTTTTATACGTAGTAACCTGCATTCCACGTAGGTCGAGTTTTACAGAAACATTCCTTAAAGCTATCTGCTACGAAAAGCCTGCCAGAACCTCGGAGACAAAGCCATTGCTAGGTCCAGTCTGGGTAGCGGGCTGCATAGCCACCCTCCCTCCCTCCAGACTCAGCTCACCTACATGATACAAGCCGTTCTTGGCATCTGGAGACACCTATTTCTACTCAGGTATTCATTTTCCTGCTAGTGACTCACCTTTCTGATCTCTAAGCCAGCTCAGCCCCCAAGGGGAAGCTCGCCTCCCTGCTGTCTGCGTGTCGCTCGGTGTTCGCACTGTCTCCCACTTGCTTTAACTCGTACCCTTGGTCATCCAAGTGGTCTCAACCCAGCTACCTTGCATTCCAGAAGCTTCCATCCATTCTCATTCTACTTGATTTTTCTTACACGGCCCGCTCTTTCCTTCATGGCGTACATGTTTGGGGAGCTTAGAAGACTTTACAAGACCTTATCTTGGGCTCCTGCCTTGGAGCCTAGTTTCCTTGCTGAGAAGGGTAGAGAAGGGGCCCGATCCTGTTTCATTCCACCAGCACCTCCTCGCGTCTTGTCACCGGCTGAGCGGTGATGCCTTACAGGTTGCAGAGCGCCGGGCCTGTTCTAGAGCAGCAGCTCTCCGGTCAGGGCTTTTCTGGGCTCACTCTTGCGCTGACTGAATTATGACCTCTGCCTAACAGAGCCTGAGTGCAGAATGGCTGTTCCCCTAGAATCGCGAGAGCACACGGAGACAATAGTTGTACTCCCCCGTAGGTAGGAACTGACCCAACAATAAACTTTGATAATAAAGACGGTAGACCATGGTGGTTTTTACTTACCTATTGACATTGTGAAAGTTTCATTTCAAGCTGTTGCCTACACTTTATCCTCCATCCAATTTGGAATAGATGACACCCTTGAATCAAATAAACTTCGTAGGATGCAATGTATCAGTAATGTTGTTCTCTTTGACAAGAGAGAAATGTATGCAGGTTTTTGTTGAGATTACTGTTTTGTTTTTTTTAAGAATTATTTTGTTTAACTTTATTTAGTTTATTTCAATTTGACAAGATAGGGACAGAGTAGGAGAAAGCAAGCCACCAGGTCTGGGACTTGAACTGTGGTTGGTCGTGTGGGAGTCCAGCGCCCTTAATCACACCACCTGCTGGCCCCTGTATGCAGTTTTTGGGGGGTTTTTTTGTTTGTTTGGTTTTTTTAGAGGTTTTTCACTATAGGGCGCGTGCGCTCACCAGACAGAGAGAGACAGAGAGATAGAAAGCGAGAAATCACCCCCCCAGAGGGGATGGCCACGCCGCAATCCCTTCTCCATTCTCCTCTCAGGATCTTGGGCACACGCACACGCACCTGGTGTGGGTTTTAAGCCACTGGGTCTGGGATGCGAACCGCGGTCGACTGTGGGAGTCCAGCAACATAGCCATTACGCTAACTGCTGGTTCCCCCTGTATGTAGTTTTAAAATGGCTTTTAAAAGTGAGGGAGGTCTGCCATAAATTTTGAAGTACAAAATCAAAGTCAGACCCAGATTTATGAACCATATGTACATATCTCAAGACCCGTTATTGAGGACCACACACACCCATCGGTACATTTTAAATCCTCCATCAATGCTTATCTTTTGAGTAGAAATCAACATAGCTCTTTAAAATAAAAAATAAAGTTGGTTGTAACACTGTCCAAGTTACTTTCACTTTGTCACTGGGATGGAACAGCTATGTCACAGGAATAGGTGAAATGCCAAACATACATCCAATTTGCTTACACAGATTTCTTTCTTGGAGAGGTTTTTGCTATAGGGCGTGTGTGTGCGCCAAACAGACAGAGACAGAGAGACAGAAAGAGAGAAATCACCCCCCAGGGGGGATGACCACACCGCAATCCCTTCTCTATTCTCCTCTCAGGATCTTGGGCACACACGCACACACATGCACCCAGCGTGAGTTTAAGTCACCAGGTCCGAGACTCGAACCGCGGTCG